GGGCTGATTATTCCTGATGCTGAGAGCACAGGGCACAACAGGACCCCAGCCCTATTGTAAAACCTCGCAGACCTGCCACTGCAACAGCTTGATTTTATGAGGCTACAGGAACGGTGGTATGCTTAGTCCTAGGCAGTGACGACTGGCAAAGATGCTAACATTGCTTAGCCCTCTGGACTAGCTGATACTACAAAAAAGCAGATTCTTTACAATTTGTACATGTGCAGCTCTGCAGATTTCCTGAACTATTTCCAACTCTGAACTGAAACAAAGGACAGTGAAGCAGTTGTCAGGGATTGTGGAACAAGCAGAGGACCTCTTTCCGCATTACGGCTAGATCAGGCATAGTTTGGGCCACCTTATAAGCCCAATTATGTCCAGGCCATCTGGCATTATGGTTTTTCCTGGCAGCATTTGAGTGGGTGTAGCAAGTGTTGCATGACAAAAAGTATAAGCAGCCACCCATGTCTCTTTCTGTAGTCTCTACATGACTACAACCTGATTCATAGTTGTCTGTTTCTACACTGATTAAGAACAGTATGACAATGATGCATATGTATTTCCACAAGCCAAAGTACAAAGCAGATTCAGGTCAGGGGTCCCCAACCTGTTTGAGCCTTGGGCACCTTTGGAATTCTGACACAGGGTGGTGGGCACAGCCACAAAATGGCTGTCGCAAAAGGCAGAGCCAGCCACAAAATGGCTGCTGCAGCTTCAGTCACATAGTGAAGAGCCTTGTCCTGTGGTGGCAGCTGCTGCCAAAGCAACATTTTAAAAAATTGACCCAGCCAATCAGAAGCCTTATTGGGCAGACACCCCATTTGGCCCTGCCCACATTCTAAGAACATTTGGTGGGCACCAAAAACGGTATGGACAGGCATCATGATGTCCACAGGTACCACATGGGGGACCCCTGTTTTACGGTATTGGAAATTATTCAATATGAACAGGGAGATTTGCTTAAGATTCATATTCTTTTCATATTGGAAAGGTAGTGACTACTGCGTAGCCCTCCATTGGCGGAGAAAGTCCTTTCTTTCCTAAGTAGGAGGCTCCTGTTTTGGCCATTAAAAGCTGAACACCTTGTGCTGCTACACGAGAGACAGTCTTGTCTGCACGTGCTGGCTGTGCATAGCTGCTGTAAGAAATTGGCTGATTGATGTCTCTTGGCAAAATGCAGATAGTCACAGGAACAACCTTCCCTCTTGCACTGCGTCCCCTAGGCACTGTGTCCCAGAGGCAGGCACAGGCTGGTGTGAGGAAACTATATATGAAGTAGTAGAAAACCCAGCAGCACCTTTAAGACTAACAAACTTTATTGTCTCGTAAGCTTTTGAGAAACATAGTTCTCTTCATCAGATGCATCTGACAAAGAGAGCTGTGTTTCTCAAAAGCTTATGCTACAATGAAGTTTGTTAGTCTTAAAGGTGCTGCTGGGCTTTTTACTATTTTGCAACAACAGACTGACATGGCTAACTCCTCTGGATCTATGTATATGAAATGCAACCCTCCGTGGCATCAGCTACAGCAGCCAGATGAACCTTGGCAGGAAAGAACTCAGGGCTTGTGGTCTCACTGGGGTCACACATGTGTGTGTTCAGGAACAGCTGGTGGGATGGCCCAATGTGATTTTTAAAAATCTGTTTATTTTATTTACTTTATTTATACCTCACCTTTCTCCCCAATGGGGACCCAAAGTGGCTCACATTGTTCTCCTCTCTTCCCTTTTATCCTCACATCAACCCTGTAATGTAGATCAGGTGACTGAAGGCCAGCCAGCAAGTTTCCATGAAAGAGTGCAGATTGGAGCTTGGGTGTCCCATATCCTAGTCCAACACTTTAAGCACTACACCATCCTGGCTGTTCAAAGGCTGCAGACTGTTTCCTGGCTGCTCCTCTTGCTCCTGACTTCCTTCTGAGCTGCCCTTGCCCCCTTACAAGCAAACATATTCTGAACTGAGAACAGCACTATTGATTCAGCTCTTCTGCCAGGATCAAACTCTCCACATACCTGTTGGGTGAATGCCAGAGCCTCTGAAAACCCCAACCCAGAGGCAGACTAAGGAACACAATTCCAGCAGTAACAAGGAGAGGGAACTAACCTTGGGCGGGGACGGACGGACAGGTAAAGGCAATGCTGTCTGCTTTCCAAACCTTGGGCAACTGCATGCATAGCTTCAGGAAAGGGCAGTGGCTCTCCACTTGTGTTCAGAGGTCACAGCTGCAGCAAATAGTTCACTTCAAGTCTAATTATTTTGGGGGTTGAGAAAGGAGAGGAAGCCGAGCGCCTCTCTCCCTGCCATCAGAACTGCCTGTGGTGATCAGGGGTGATGTTTTCAGAGCCCCCACCAAGGTTGGAGCAAATGTTATTTCCCACGGAGAAATGGCACACACATGACAGTGTCCTCCTGACTACAGAGAGAGAAGAATGACAAAGCCCTAGTAGTTCTGGGCATCTGCCAGGCACCTAGGCTGCATACACCGTTCAAAATAAACAGCAGGATCCTAAAAATACTGATTCAGAAGCAAGTTCCATAGAGTCCAATGGGTCTTAGGAGTATGCTCAGGATTTCAGACTAAGAAAAGCCCCAGTGGACTAAAAGGAACGGCAGGGTTGGCAGGGAGAGGGAAATGAGGATGCCGCCACACAAACACACACCCAGAGCACCATCCAATAAAATCATTGGTAGGAGCTTATGTCAACTGAAGTGCATTAAGCTCCGTGTGGTCATGACCCAAAGGGGAGGGAACGTATCAGCCCCAATGCCATGCCTGCTTTCCACAGCTGAATCAGATATCAGCAGAATGCAGGATAACAGCCACGAAAGTAAACAAAACTAACAACGACTTACTTTCCTGCTGCCTACGCAGGTATTGTCTGGGTCTTCTCTAACCACACACTACAGCAGTCAGCTGTGGATCGTGCATCTGCGTGCTTGCCTCCCATTTTCCAACATCCATGTTTGGTCTATAGCCCCAAAAGGCTGCAACCCCCAAAGAGCAACCCTCCTCTCATCCTCTTCCTTCTCCTAATCCAAATTGCACAATTACCCTAAGTTTTAAACTGCTCAGGGGCCACGGTGGCTCAGAGGTTGAGACGCTGAGCTGCAGACTGGAAGGTCTGTAGTTAGGCAGTTCGAGACCGGATTTCCCTGTGATGGAGTGAGCTCCCGTCTCTGGCCCCAGCTCCTGCCAACCTAGCAGCTGGAAAGCAAGAAATTGCAAGTCGATAAATAGGTACCGCTTCAGTGGGAAGGTAACAGCATTCCATGCACCTCGGCATTTAGTCATGCCAGCCACATGACCATGAAGAAGTATCGGACAGCGCTGGCTCTTCAGCTTGGAAACGGAGATGAGCACCACCACCCCGAGTCCAATTCAACTGGCTTTCGAGCAAGGGAAACCTTTACCTTAAACTGCTCATACGGAAAGAAAAAAAATACCCCACCTCCCCCTTCCTCTGCTTTTTCCCCTTTTCCCTTCCTCGGGGCCTAGATAAATGTTAACTTCTTTTCCATCTCTTTGCCAACAAAAACAAACCCACAGCTCTGTTAGAGCAGGTGATACAGCAAAGGGACAGTCAATTTCATAGACAATTAGTCTGGGTGACAGTCTGACCTACTTTTTGCTGTATGTCTTGCCTGGAGACTCTTCCTGCATGTGAATGGCTAGAAGGGGTATGGCGGGAAGCGGGAGACCCTCCCCCACACTGCACTGCTTGGCTGTCTGGCATAATTCTGCTCTGCAGGAAGCAACCTGGTGGCCCCTAGAAAGGCTTCGACCCACATAATACTGTGGCAAAGAGAACATGAAGACTGTGGCAGGCGGGGTGGGGGATGAGGAGAGAGGAGGAGTCTATACGTGGATCCCAACACCAGATGGTCCCTCCCAGTTGGTAACACATTCAGGCGTCATAGTTCTTGTACCTCCCCTCTATTTCCTGCCTATGCCACCTCCACACAAACAAACAAAAAAACAACAACCCAGGCTTCAAAAGTGTTACTTCCCAAGAGGATAAGATGGAGAAGTGATGTGCCTAAGACCACGAAGGCACAGCTCCCATGCCTCTTGGGGCCCAGGCTGATCTTGTCCATCACAGAGGTGGAGGTGGAGGTATTCACTGCGGCTGAGTAGTCAGGACAAGGATGATCTCTGACCAAGGCTCACTGCAATACAGGGAACCGCTTTGAAACCAAAAATCTCAAAATACTTGAGTTGTGCAAACAGCAGCAAGTTGACAGTAGCTAGAATGTTTATATGGGGGGGGATCCACTGCAAAAAGGGGAAGTGGCTGCTAAGCCTGGATGTGCCCCCCACCCCTGCAAATAAAAAAAAACACACATATCCATGGCTAGCTGCCCCACAAGTCCCTTGCATTTGGCCTTTACTCTTTCCTTGCCTTTCCCCTTCTTCCTGCACAGCTAAGCCTGGCAGTTCCAGCTGATTGCCTTTTAAAGCATGTTAAATGAGGGGCACAGAAGGTGTACAGGAGTACCAGTGCCAAGTTGAAGCATGTCTGAATGGCACAGGGTGCATGGCTACGTGCTCTCCCTAGACCCAACACAGGGCTTGGAAAGGACACGTGACAAGCTTAGAGAACAGGCAGAAGTTGGTGTCTCAAGGCAGTGGCCCAACTTGGGAAGCCAATGTGGGTCAAGAGATCAAGAGGGGTAAACTGGAGGAAGGAGTGTCAAAATGGTTTGGGTGGAGGTGCAGCGATGTTAAAGAGGTCACAGCTCTACCCTTTAAATGCTATAGGTTCTATATGTCTATCTGTACACATACACACACGCTCGTACACTCACACATTCGCACACTCATGCACTTATCCCAAGCTGGCTCACTGTGGCAACTCCAGCCCTAGCAGCCCAAAATTGAGATCTGTCCGATAAAATCTGCCTCTTAAAAAAATAGAGCGAGGCCCCACGGAGTTCTTCTGTTCCACCCAGATTCTGGGCCACAATCCTTACTCCTTTGCCCCGATGCAGAAATCGATGCTATAGGGGTCAGGATGGAAAGTCCGAAAAGAGAACAGGTGGCCAAGCTCACTCTCTGTCGCCATCTTCACTGCTTCCTGGAGAAGGGAACAGGACAAGTTAGCGTCAGAAACATCACGACCCAGAGGCCATATAGATTACAGAACCACAGACCTCTATCCACCAAGCTGCAACGGTCAAAGCCCTGAAAATAAGAGAACAAATCTGCCCGCCCCCTCACAACTATGCCAGTTTTGTAATTAATGCTATCAGAAAACCATAAGTAAGGACAACCACACCAGACAAAGTATACTTTGGACCAGAGTTCATTTCGGGGGGGATCGCGGGGGATAGCAGTTCCCCCGGGTGAAGTAGGGGGGGGGGGCACATGACGAAGCCCCGCCCCCTGCTTTCGGCCGCCCTGCTTCCAGCCCTCATTCAGCCAGGAGGAGGCAGGAAAAGAGAGAGGGTAAGTTGCTTCCTCCCTGCCTCTCCCCACCCCTGCCTGCCTGGGGCCAGGGAGGGCCTTCACGGGGCTTCCTTGCACTCCCACCGGCCTTGCAGGTCCACCGCCGGGCCCCTCATGGGGCTCGGCAGTGGAGCCGTAAGGCCGGCGGCGGCCGGGACAGTTGGGGGCGGGGTGTGTGGCCTTATGACAGACTTCCGGTGATGTCAGAGTGTGTGGCCTTATGACACACTTCCAGTGATGTCAGGGTGTGTGGCATATGCTCATGAGTTATGCTAATGAGTTCCCCTAGCTCTTTTTCTACGAAACGACCCCTGCTTTGGACTCTCTGCATTTAAAAAAGAGGCTCATGGCCCTGTGAACATGCTTTGAACTCTCCTTTAAAAGTACATAGGATATCAGTGACTCTAGTGCTGATAAATTACGCCCATTGGCTGGCCTCTTCACCCTTCCACGTATTGGAGGACAAAGCACATGGCAGCTGATGGCCTGAGGGAGCTCCTTCCGTCTTAATCATTCCAGTGGGGTAACTATGTTAGTCTACTGCAAGAACAAAATCAAACAAAAGTCCAGTGGCACTTTAAAGATTACATTTTGTTCAATTTCAATTTCAAAACCTTTATTGGCATAGATCAGAATCATAAACCGTCACCCTTCAGTTCATGGATTTAGCACACAGCTTCCTCATTATAAGGCCATTGCAGAACTTAGCCACCCCTTCAAGAACCACTATATTTTGTGAAGCCAGTAAACGGTACAACCTTCTGCCATCAGATTTACATTTTGTTAATCTTTAAAATGCCACTGGACTTCTGTTTAATTTTACTTCTATTTTAGGCACTCAGCTGCTGGAAGGTTTCATTCACAATAGTAGCTGGTGGCAATGTAGGTGAGAAAGCAGTAAAAGAAAGTGACTGGGTCTGGCTGTCGATGAGAGCCTCCCTTTTGTAAAGCCAGCACTTAGGGCCAAAGAGAAATCTAACATGTGCCTTTAAAGCAGCATTCTTTTACATCTCTTTTAACAATGAAGCACTAATGAGGACTGCATCTATCGATTATTGTACAAGCTAAAGAATAAAACCTTTCATTTTAAATGCTGAAACAATAAGTTATTGATAACTGATTACTGTACAAGGACACCAAGCCTCTGAGTTAGTATTTATGAAACTGAGCCTTATGACTTCCTATTGTTTCATCCATTCTTTTGCCTATCATTAACTGTGCCCTTGAGATTCGGTACACTGGGCTAATGGTGGGAATGTATTTTCTTAGTGGCTCTATTCACATAAAGCTTTCATGTGTTCAGTTATTTATACATAGGAATGCCATGAATTTTGCAGGAAACCAGCAGTTGAACTTATACTGTTCAACACTCACAATCAGGCTGTGAGCTGATCAGGGATATGTTCAGATTGCATAAAGCAATTCTAACAGCTTCCCAACAAGTTTGCAGCTGCCTGTTGGTCAGAAGCTAACCCACAGCTGATTGCAGGATCAGCTGGGAGTCAGGTTCTGATGCACCACCAATCCTCAGAACAGCAGCTACACAGTGAAGTTTCTCATCCCTCCCCTCCTACCTGGGTGGAGACAGAAGCAAAGCTTCTGAGCTCCTGATTGCAAAAGGGAGAGGAGAAAAAGCTAATTTCTCTGCAGCCTAAGAAGAACCCGACTTCCAGCTGATCAGTTAATTAGGATAGTACTACTTCCTTCTCTGTTGATTCCATGCATTTTAAGGGGTAAACCTCCCACAAGTCAACCCCTTCCCTCCAGGATCAATGAAGTAAAGTCATGTGGGCCAGAGACACCTTGGAAGGGGCACAATCCTCTTCTTTAATGACCATGCAAGTGAGCAACTATGGATTAGGGCTACATAAACCTTTTAAAGAGGAAACCATATCCCTGTTCTTTCTTCCTATTCTCTAAGTGTAAACATTACAAAAAGTATTTTAAAATACATCTGGAAACTGAAATAATCTCACATGAACATGGCCTCCACAGTGTTAACTAGACTTGCCAGTCCCCACTTGGGGCAAGGGATTCCCCACCCCCAGTTTCCATTGCCTGCTGCTGCTCCTCCAAGTGCAGTGGAAGAAAAATAGAACAAAACCTGGCAATGTTATGTGTGCCTTTTTGTCACTTCCAGTGAAAACTCAGAAGCAATGGAGGGTAGCTCTAGGAATTGCCAGAAGCTCTATGGTAAAGCCACACTGTTTCCAGATATTCCTAGACCTACCTTATATCACTTACAGGTTTTCACTGTAAGTAAGTGACATAATGATGCATGCAACATCATGGTCCCACCATGTCCCCCCGCAAACTGCCTACTGGTTGCTGGGCATGGCCTGATAACCCTAATATTAACCCTTAGATTGTGACTAAGTAACAATGAAAGGAACTAAAGTGCACCTCCTCAGGAGGTAGACCCATCCTGCTTCACCCTCCCCATCCAACACTTCAGCAGTCCTTCTTTATTTCCTGGTTCTGATCATGTGACATCTGCTCCACATTGTGGAACCCATCTACGGGATGGGCGGGATATAAATGCAATAAATAAATAAATAAATAAATGTGTGTTGACAAGAACTGCCCCATTGCTCAAGGCCTGATGAACACTTCCGGAGACATCTAGGTTCCTCACTCCTCATTAGGTCCTTTCCTTTTTGAATGCATCTTACCTCCTACAGACTTGACATCTGAGTTGGTGACGTGTGTGATGGAGAACCGTGACACTGGGGCAGGTGAGACAGTGAAGCGTGAAAACTGAATGGGCAGCACCTGCTTCTGAGCGGGCCCTAGCACGGGTGGCAGTCTGGGAAGGGCTGGCTCAGACACTGCCGGTGTTAATGTCTGCACAAAAGGCGATTTCACTGGCATGAGGGGGAAGTCATCATCCCATTCAAAACCACCACCTGGAGTTGAAAACAGACACAAAGGAAGAGTCATGAATCGTGCCACAAACTGGGCCTTCTGCCTGTTAAGCTAAAGGTGAAGGTTTCCCTTGCTCAAAAGCCAGTCAAATCTGACTCTAGGGGGCAGTGCTCATCTCCATTTCCAAGCCAAAGAGCCAGCGCTGTCCCAAGACTTCTCCATGGTCATGTGGCCGGCATGACTAAACACCAAGGTGCACGGAACGCTCTTAACTTCCCACCAAAGCGGTCCCTATTTATCTTGCAATTTCTTGCTTTCAAACTGCTAGGCTGGCAGGAGCTGGAGCCAGAGACGGGAGCTCACTCCGTCATGCAGCACACTCGGGTCTCGAACTGCCGAGCTACAGACCTTCCGGTCTGCAGCTCAGTGTCTTAACCTCTAAGCCACCGAGGCCCCACCTGCAAATATACAGCCAAAAAGGCCATACTACTGATATAGTTCTACCGTCTATCCCCCTCTAGTGGTCAAAAACTGGGAGTTTTAACTGAGCTGCTTCCTGAGGTCAAATTTATATCTGAAGGGAGGAATAAAAGAAATGCTTTCTGTTCCCAGTGATCATAGCAGGGAAAAGCTCCCATTCTGAACCAGTTCAGCAGACAGTGAAACTGTCATGAGACCAATGCAGGTAAAGGCAGGCAATGACAATGGTGACAAAGAGACCTCCAATACAAAGAATGATCACCCACCCTTGGAAGTCAAGAACGGTCACGACCAAAAGGAACTCAGAAAAATACAATCACACGAAGTGTGTGTGTGTGTGGGGGGGGAAGTAATGCACAGTCCTGAGGGAACAACGCAAGGTAACCTGAGCTCAAAAATACTGTTCACAAAGCTGCAGGGAAACATAACGTGACACTTCCCCCCCCCCGCCGCCGCCGTCCCCCATAGCTTTAGCTGGCTTTCCATTCCCCACCCAAGTCCTACCCTTACTCTCTTCTTCAGAGGTACTCCCTTCTGAGGAACTGTTTGGTGTCTCTGTCGGGCCTGCAGGGCCTGCAGGACTGTTGCCTTCTTTCTGCACAGACTGGGCCAGGCCTGGCTCTGTGACCCCCGGGAAAGGCTGGTCTGCAAGTTCCTTTGTGGGACTTTCCTGCACACGAGAGACACAATGGATCATTATCACATGTCACGGGACCATCTGCTACAACTCAGGCTGCCCTCCTGGGGAGAAGCGGCTCACTCTGCCAGGTCCTGCTCTGCCCCCAAGCCCTTCCCTTCTCACTTTTGCAGGCTCCTAGTTCACCTCCCTGCCAGGTTGAAAAGCCTGGGCTGGACTTAATGGCAGGACTTCAGGTTAACATTTGATTAGTTCTGCCATTTTTCTGGGTTGACAGTATGATGGTACCTTCCTAGAAAGTACTTGCAATAAATGGCACCGATATGTTCAGGTGTACTAGAATTACATGCCAGTAGAAAGCGCTCATGTTTGCAGGTTTAGGGATTTTTAAAGCCCAGGGTCCTTTCAGCCGTGGGGCTGGCCTTGTGCCCCACAGGAGATGGTGGTGAAGGAATGCCCAATGACTCCTTCAGAGCCTTATTATGAGGCAAATGCAAACAAATGCAAAAGGTGCCCTCTCTGTGGCCTGGCACCTCTCCAGGCTCCTCTCTCTCCCTTCCAGCCCCCACCCCAAGACGAGTCACCTGGTCAAAGAGGTAGACGGTGACATCATCATAGAAGGAGACAGCCTTCTTCTTGCGCTCCAGGTCATCACAGAAGGATTCCACCAGCAGGTTGGGCATCTTGAGAAGACTGCGCAGGTTGCGCGCACTGTGGCTCTCGGCCACCACAATGGGCACCGTAGGCGATTCCTCCTCGCTCTCTTCACTCTGCTCTTGGATGTTGTAGCAGCGCAGTTCCTCATCAGACTCATCGCTGTCCTCTGTGTCGTCTTCCTCTTCCTCAGGATCGGTGGAGGTGGATGACTGCTGGGAAGGCACCCCTGACAGGTCCAGTGAAAGACTGGAGAGCGCAGAATTGCTCTCTAACTCCTCACTCTCACCAGTCCCCTCCAGTTCCCCCGGATACTCTGGCTCTCTTGACCCCTTCTCCAGCCCTGCATTCCCTGCCCCCACATCTCCCTCAAGTACCAGGATGGGCACCTCTGAACTCATGACCACAGGCGACAGGAAAAAAGATCTGGTGGGAGCCAGCTGTGGGGGCACAGCAACAGTCCCTTCACACTCATCCCTGACTGGGCTTGACTCCACCTCCTCAGCAGCAGCTCCATTTACCAGCAACTCCCGTGATGCCCTTGGAGGTCCTTCCCTCACGACTTGTTCCTCAGCCTCTGGAAAGGTGCAGCCCACACTGTCTCCGCAGGGGGCAGGGGGCTCGGGGCAGGGAGGCACTTTTTGGTTAGGGGCCTTCCCCAGCCCTCCGAAGGCTACCTGGCAGGGCTCTGACTCGTGCCCCTCAAAACCATCACTGTCCCCTTCCCCATCCTCCCGAGTTCCCCCTTCAGTATCATAGTCAGAGAAGTAGGCTGAGTCACGGTAAGGGTTCTTCTCGTCTAAGACATGCAGCTCAGCACTGAAAGAACTTGACAGACTTAGCTCTTTGGTCGAGTCCCCCCTGTCTTCTTGCATCTTTCCTAGCTGTGGAAAGTTTTCGGGCTCTCGCACCTCGTGAGGCTCCTTGAGGACAAATTCAGGAGACTCGTAGTTCTCGGTATCATACCCACTGTCCAGGGCCTTAGGCTGGCTTGAGGATACACAGGCTGTGGGGCTGAATGCCTCACAGGAGCTGGTGGTGGAGGGAATGTCCAATGACTCCAAAGAGTCAGGGGTCCCCACCTGCTTCTGCAAGGACTTGAAGGCAGGCAGTATATCCTGCCGTTCGACACAGTCAACCGAGAAGTCAGCAAAAACTCCAAAAGTGAGCTCAGCCGTATCCTCATCGCTAGCCTCATCCATATCGGGGAAGCTAGCGCTCGACACCGTCTTGTCTGGCGTCTGGTCCAGTTCACTGCTGATGGTCTTGCCATTTTCTAGGTTGATCTCCTGTAGCATCCTGGGTGGGCGTTCAACTGAAGCCTCTTCCACAAGGACAGGATCTTCCCCAGCGACTAGTGTCTCGTCTATTAATTCAGCTGGCGTAGTTGTATCCCCAGTGTCTATACTGACAGCTGGGTCTGGCACAGGTAATGATGTCCCCAAGTCCAGTTCCTCCAACAGTGGCCCAGTGGCCGGGGGGCACCCTTCTCCACTCTCAGTCCAGGGATCTGTGGAGTCCTCTATACTGACCTCGATACCAGCAATGTCAGGTGATACTTTCTCCTCTGCCGGCAACTCAGCATCTAGACATGGGGAGCCCGCGTGAGATGACATCACGCACTCCCCACCCAGCAGTGCAGCTCGCAGATCCTTGAGCCCGAGAGTGGGCTCATCCCGGGGTACTGTGCACAGCGGTTCTGCCATGAGCCCCTGGAAGGTGATCATGTGCCGGTAGCACCAGCTGTCATTCGCAGGTGGCTCACAGGGGGATAATGAGTGGCCGCTGTTATTATTGGCTGAGGTGTTGGATGTCCACTGCTTGCTGGAGGAAGGGGATTCGTCATTCTCACCCCCTTCACTCCTGGGGCTGCCACAAGAGTTCTCCTCATCCAGATCCAGAGTGACACAGTCCAACGTGGCCTCCTTGTAGCTGTAGGTCACTGACGGCGACACACCCAGTGGGTCAGTGAAGGCAGTCTTCTGCAAAACCGGAACAGGCCACTCAGAGCCACTGGGCTCTTTCAGCAGGTAGTCATCAGCACTTTCCCTTGGGGAGGCCTCATAGTATGGGACTTCCTTGTCCCCTTGTCCTCCATAGGAGTAGTATTCGGGGGGTTCCCAGTGACTGTCGGTGTGTGTGGAATGGCCCAGAAGAGGTTCCATGGTGAGTGAGACAGCAGGGCTATTGCTTGATTCATAGGGGCCCTCCTTGGCTTGCCAGCTTCGGGACGAACAGCCAAACTCAGGACTGTAGGAGCACATCGTGTAGTCCAGATCAGCCCCGCTACCCTCTGAGGCCGCTTCTTCAATGCGGATGTAGTACTCGCTATTAAGTGAGGGGCTGTGGGCACTCAGGACAGGAACCACACCTGGCGTGTGCAGACCAGGACAGCCTTGCACCTTGCACTCATAGCAGGAGGGTGAGACGCCCAGGCTGAGGTGCCCGCCCCCTCCACCGCTGCTGCTGGCTGAGTAGTAGAGCTCGTGATAGCGGGCAGGTCCATGAGGGCTCAAGGCCGAGGCTGGAAGGTGCTCAGCTTTGCCTTGGTCCCACTTGTACTCAAAGTTGAGGCCATGACTCGTCTCCATGACAGTCAGGACATCATCGCCATCGTTGGAAAAATGTTCCAGCAGTGGGAAAGAGGAAAGCTCAATGCCCATGTGGCTGGAGCCGGAGCCAGAGCTTGATCCTCCACCACCCCTGGGTTTCATGGAGTTCCAGCGCCTCTCAAACTCCTCCTCAGCTTCCGAAGCCCCCTTGGCACATAGGTAGGAGAGTAGCAGGTGCACCTCCTCAGCAGTGGGGCGCTGCTCTGGCTGCAACCAGCAGAACTGCATCACTTCATACCTGAGAGCAGGGAAGAAAGAGCACAGTCTCCGTCTTTGCTCTCAGAGTAATGCCTGTCATGCAACCACACAGAGGGCATCCCCAACCTCAAGTCTCACTACTTGCTTTCCAGATGTGTTTTCTCTCCTAGCAACACAGCCCCTTCCTTACTCTCCAGCCTCACACAACACCCCTCTGGGCACTTAAGAACTGCAGCTAGAATGTTGTATACTGTCACACACTCAGAGAGAACAGAGCAGCATTCATGTATCACTCTGTACCCTACACTGACTTCCCACCAAGGTACAAGTCGCACCTAGTGGAGCACTAGGAATCAGCCACGTGCTGACCGGGAAGTGAGTCCATCAGATGAGCCTGGTTCATGCATTCAGCTCAGCCAAGCCTCCCTTCTAATCCTTCGCAGAGTCTGGCCTTTCAGTCCTCCTGACCCTTTCTAGCAAAATGATGCACACAGACTCCAGGTGTGCGACTGACCCACGCTAGTGGGCTGACATGCCCACTGTCACTAAATAGAGGGCTGTGTTGGGGAAGCAATGTGGGAGCCTAGTACAAAAGCAGCTTACAAACGCCTGCCCACCCAACTGGTCCCACCTGTCAAAACTAGCCTTTGCCACACCTGTCCCCATGGGCCTACCACCATCCCTATCCCTTGCAGTACTATTCCACTCACCAGCGGTCAGAGAGTGAGAGTGGGAGCTTCGGCTTGGGAAGTTTAAGCTGCTGCTCCTTGATGGCGTAAGTGAGCACCTGCCGGTCCGAATAGTGGCAATAGGGCTGGCCTCCCAGCTCAAAGAGCTCCCAGATGGTCACACCCAACGACCTGCCAAAAGAGGAGAAAGTCAAAACACAAAGAGAGGCACCGCCAGGGCTTTGTTTCTGGGGGGACGTGCCAAATCGGCGTTCCGGAACATCTTCAACACAATTATTTTTAAAGGTTCACGGGTTTTCAGTATACAGACTGAAAACTTCATTTCCCTCGAGAGTTCCAGCACCTCCCCCCCCCCCAAAAAAAAGCCCTGGCCACAGCACACCATAGACAGAGAGGACCATGTCATACATGCCCAACTCCTCTGAAGCCAGGGTAGCTACATTCAAAAGGAGCAAACTCAGGAGATACAATCCTCGGCGGCATCATGCAGGAGAGGGTCTCTTCCAGGCCATACTATGTCAGAGGCAACGTGCCCCCTTTTCTCTGCTTGTATAGAGTTACTACGTTCTCACAGATAATGTTTTGAGTAACAAAAGTTACTCATGCCTGAGACTGCCTCCTGGACTCTGGGCCTAGGGAATAAAGCAGCCATTTAGAGATGACAGGCTGCCTTCCTGCGCACTTGGCTCCGTTACCTGGTTCTAGACCATCTTTGCTGTGCCAATATCCCATCTTCTCAGAACCTGGTCTATGGATCAGGCTGCGCAGAGTCTTTATACGGTTTCCTCCTCCCTCATGTAGACATCAGCCCAATACTCTGCCACTCTCCTATCCCCAGGGCCACTTTCCTCATCACACCAAACCTCCAATTTTCTCACCAGATATTGCTGGTCTTGGTCTGGTCAACAATAAGCAGGTTGCCGTGAACCTCATCGATGAGTTCAGGAGCCACCCAGCGCAACGGCACCCACAGCTGGTCAGCCGTCACAAAATAGTCATCCTGCCAGGCATGCAGAGACAAAGCCAGACCACGTCAAACTGGAACCAACAGAAACTGCACACTGGTCAGAGGAAGGGCAGACCTCACCCTCACCTACATGCCTGCTCTAAACCCCATGCCCTACCAATGATTATGGGAGCACGGAAAAGCTGGTCCCAATGGGAAATATGGCCGTTCCATGATGGCTGCTTCCCACCTGCTCCTGCTTCTCCCCCTGTCACCTCCTCTACCCAGCCACTGACAGACAGCACTATGGTGGAGGATAATGGCAAAGACCACTGAGTCTCGTCTAAGTGTCTGCAGATATGATATGTCTGTTTCCCCACCACCACATATACTCCTACTCTCCTCTTTGACATCTGCATTCCCAGCAATGTTTCCCCTCACTCAAAGACGGCTGCTCCCTCTCTCAGTCGGCACTTCGAACCCTGCAGTAGAAACCCAGCCAGCCTTGTGTGTGTCCCTTTGCCTGGCTCCCTACCCCAAAGCAGACTTACTTTGTACTTGCAGTGAGAAAGACCATAGTCGCCGATTTTGACAGTCAGGTCAGCTGTGAGTAAACAGTTCCGCAGTGCCAGGTCACTAAACAAAAGAAATGCCCAGCTGAGATTATACAGCGGAAAGTGGTAAGCGCCAGCCAGGCCAGGGGGATTCGTGCACTGTGACCAAGACCAGCAGAAGCACAGAGCCAGGGCGTGAGGAAGAACTGATCAGATTTGGGAAGAATCCCAAAGTTTCTGCCCTCCCTCCGTGAGGTCCACTCAGCATACCGAGCACCAACATGAAGACCTCACCAGCCAATAAAACTGAGGGAGTTTGAAAGTTACCCTTTAGCCACACACCCGCCTGAGTTCATTAGAGCTGTTGCATCCTGCCACTCTTCTTTCTCCTGATGTTCTCCTGAAGTTCCCACAATAGAGGAGCAAGCACAAATGGGAAGCTAGTTAGCTGGTCAGTAAACTGAGGGAGAGTTCACCTCCATTCATGGCACGCCTGGCTTGCCCTCCTGGTCCTTATCCCTTTGCCACAATACACTGATTGCTGCAAGGCTGCCTTTTTACTCCTCCGTTCTACAGTGGAATCAAGGACACCATCACAACCATACATAATGGGAAATTTTAAAAAAAATGCAGTGTAAAAAAGCAAACGCATACTGGAATTTCTGGATGTGGAATGCGTACCTTTTTAAAATCCTAGCTCCTCCACATGAGTGAGACTTTGGAGCAGTTTGGCCCAACGTAGCCACCCCTCCCCTCCAGATCAAATGGGTGCAATCAAACACACACTTCTGGCTCACATGCCTCACTTGTCCCTACCTCACTATGATGCCAGCTTAGGGGTGGGGGCTATGTGATCGATGCAAAGTGTCCCAAACTCAAGCAACTTATCTAGAGTCGATATACTGCAGCAGCAAACTGCTTGTGTGACCACACCCTTCCATCCTTCCCAGTAACCATGTCATTTCACCCATCCTCTTTGCCCAAATGCCCACAGTTCTCTTGTGTGCTTTCCTTTCCTTTCCTCCCCTCCCCCCTCTTCTCTATGACCTCTGACCTAGCAATATACCTGGGATTTCAATCAGAATGCATTATGTATTTTTGCTTAAGTTGGCCTATCGGTATTTCATTAGTATATTATGTGGGGCTTTGGGGCACGCAGATGCACAGTGTACACTACAGCATTGTTAGATGTGTGGTTGCTGCTGCCGTGTTTAGTGTTTATGGGATGCCCTTATGAAGATCACAGTAACCTAAGTTAGACTGATACATTTTGCAAAGTACAGTAACCCAACTACCCTTAGTTTATGGAGATGGAATGTAGAATTCACTGGCTTCTGTTCCTTTAGGGGAGGTATGGGGAGCTGTTGTCTAATTTATTCACCCTTTCTGCAACAAATATATTTCCTCCTTCTGCTGGAACTCTCACTGGGCCATTCATCCAAGACCAATATGTGCTCACATTCAAGCTCCCAGGAATAACAGTGTTTGAATTATGTGAAGAGTCCAAAACAAAGGGTTAGAAACACAGCAGAGATCTAGTGTATAGATTTAGGATTGCAAGGGTGACCAGCAGCTACTGGCCTAGAGGATTTCCCCCTTTATGCCTGATGTCCAAACTCTAATTAAAAAGGTACAGAGTTACTGTGCCACTATTTTTAGCCTAAAAATAAAAAAGTGATTCTGCTCTCTGAAAGATCTGCTGGAAATTATTCACTTACTAGTTGAGTTGTCCTCCTTAAACACATAGCTTAGTAATCAGTTATTGAGCTAAAAATAATAAAGATAATAATTCCTTCAGCAGCAGTCACAAGTTTCTCTCTCTGTCTCCAGGAGCAAACATCAATCAGTAAACCAGCAGTAGAGGACTACTCGATTCATCTCAAGGGTTAGTTGAAACAGAAAGAGGTATGATTGCTTTTAGCAAACCTTAGCTCCTGTGGTTAAATGGTCTCACACACATCATGCCAAAATTAATGTTCTGCATAATGGGAAACGAACTTTCTAGAAGGTGCTTCAAATACGTGTACATACCTATATACCCCAGGAGGTGCACCCCTGGTGAGTACCCTTTTAAATAGACCTCCCTTTTTTAAATAACCCTCCTAAAGAGCTAGGTGTCACTGAGAAACAGGACCAGGTGGAAACACCTTCTCTGTCCCCTGGAGTTCCCGGAGAACAACTCCCATCAGCCACTGCAGGGGAAGCAGGAGCATCCACAAGGGATGGTGGGATATGGAACTATCTCAGGCATGTTTGTACCTGATTGAGGCTATCAAGAGAGAGAGAGAGAGAAGAAGAAGAAGAAGACAAGAATTTGCACAGGGCTTTTGGGTGTTCAGAAGACTTCACACAATCCTTACACTAATCTTGAAAGGGCAGTCAGTATTATTAATCGCATATTTTGGATGCTACCTAGTGAATTCGTGTTAAAGGTGGGGATTGAACCAGGGATTTCCTAATCTCTTAGCCACTATGCTACACAAAACTCGATGTCCTGTGTGGCCTAAGACTTCTCTCCTCGCCTTCCTGGAGTATGCTTCTTCATCAGACGAGAGCGCTCACCCTCTTCAACAAAATCACTGATGCTGGAGTCTCTGAGGGCCACTCACTCAGCACCAGGATATTGTTGGGGAAGAGGAGCAATTGGTAAAAGAAGCGCAGAAATGGCAGAAATACCCAGAGCCTGCTGGTTTCTTGCTGTAAGCTATATCCCATATGTCCAAGCAGGATAAAAAGAAAGAAAAAGAAGGGAGCAGGACTGGTCAGACACATAGCAGACTGTGTATAAGGCACTCTCTGCACAAAATCTCAGGGCTCAGCCCTTTGGTCTCTCACAGCCCACAGGTCCCACCCGAGAAGCCAAAATCTCCTGTTCCCATTTTGTTCCAGAAAAACCTATGAAGTCATGCCAGAATATAGTTCATTCTGCATCTGAAGGTTTTTTTGCCACCGCTACTCAGCAGGCCTCAGCACCCCACCCCCAGCAAAGCTTTTATAACATGCCCACGCTCTCATGGTGGTCTCTCAGGTGGGTCTCCGGAAATTTCCGGAAAAGCAGACAGCTTCAAAACACATTCAGCCAAGGATCTGAGTGGCACGACCTAGCTGTGGAGTGGGCTCAGGGCACCTCCCTGTGTCACAAACAGGTAGGCTGAGAGAGCCACAGTAGCTGATCTATTGCATACTACGGCCAAAACCCTGCGTACCTCCTGCCCCTTTTCTGGCTCGGCACTTGATTCCTGGCCAACTCAAGCACACATGCACACACTCCCACACAGGAAGCAATTAGACGGGAGGTCTCACCTGTGTACATAGTTGTTGCGGTGGAGGTGTAGCAGGCCACAGGACACCTCGCAGGCCATGCGTTGCAATGTCAGGGGGTCAGGTGCCAGTGCCTCGGCCGCATGGCAGCTCCGCAAGTAGCCCTTCAGGTCACCCTGTCAGGGTGGCAGCAGCAGCAGCGTTACCCATGGCAACCGCTGCCTCTGGACCTCTCTTGTGAGGTCTCAATGGATGGGTTGGAGAAGAACAAGAGAGAAAAAGCATCTCTGCAACGCAGTCAAGGGGGATGGTTCCCAGACCCCAAGAAAGCCCAGGTTGAGAGTAGAGGAAAGGTCATATACACTAAAGCATCACAGCAACATGGAGAGGAAACGTTGCTGAATTTGGAAGTGCAGAGCCCACGCGAACACATGAAGCCGCCTTATAGGGAATCAGACCATTGGCCGATCAATGCCAATGTTGCCTACTCTGACTGGCAGTAGCTCTCAAGGGTCTCAGTCTTTCACATCACCTGCTGCCTGGTTTTGGTTTTTTGTTTTGACTGGCGATGACAGTAATTGAACCTGGGACCTTCTGCATGCAAAGGAAATGGTCTACCACTAAGTCATGGACCTTCCCTGTCGTCACTTAGTCCAACCCTCCCTTATGTAAAGCAGAACCATCCACCCACCATCCCCCTGCAGGTCAGCCTAAGCAAGACAGACCATATTGTGGATAGGGCGGATGCACTGCATAAAGGCAGCAACAGAGCCATGGCTTCAGGTGGCTCACCTAAGGGACAGGCAATATGATACAACCCCCAATCTCTGCCAATGACCCACAAGAACATTTGATGCTTCCTTGCCTCTAAACCCAGGGGCTAAGACATGATCGAGGAGGTATGGAAGAAGGAAGCAGTGGGATTTCCCTCTACTAGTGACTCACCAACGGACAGAACTCCATCACCAACAGGTAGGGTGTGACCTCTGCACATTGGGCCAGGCACTGCAGGAGATTCGTGTGCTGGAGGGCCCTGGGCAGCAGGGGAGAGAGAGAAATGGGATTGGAGGGGAAAGTGCAAGGGAGCAAGTCCAGAGCTGGGGTAAGGAAAGGCTGAGGAATGCTGACCGAGGGCTTCAGGATACAATGAGGATCATGGACATGGCAGAGGAAGGGAAACCAAGCCTCTGAGGCCAACAGGATACTATCTGAGCAATGAGCAGTAGAAAAACAAGGGCTAGGATAGTCAGGAGAGCAGTAGGTTAGGCCTACAGATGATGCTCCAACCAGGTCTAGCTGAGAAACAAATCCATTTCAGTATGTGCAGTTTTCCTTCCTTCCCCTTTCCTAACAATAGGTTCATTTGGGGACAGGGAGGGGCTCCCATGACACAGCCCGGCACGGACAATAAATAAATGGATCCTAAGCGGTGCCAGCCATCTCAGCATGTCCACAAACAATTGCGAGTTGTTTGTGCATGAGTCAGTACAGTCATTCATTGCTTTCCAACACTGCCCTTCCCTTCCCACACCTTCATCAGCGCCCCTTGGGTCAGAACTGCAGCTCTCCTGCCACTGGGGCATATGCTCCAAAGCAGCTTATCTGCTACAAATTAGACACCACGAGTCTGCTTAAAGCGCCTCCGTGCATGCAAGGGGGACCTAACAGCCCTTTAGTTGTCATGGATACATGACCAGAGAATGCTAGTTGTTCTGGATTAATCAATGCTGAGTAAAATAATGTGCATCCAGGAGCAGAAGAAATACTTTTATGTTCTTAGGAAATGGAAGCAAGGTTGTAGCTGCCGGCCCTTCACACTGGTAAAAATGTATTGTGTGTGTGTGTGTGTGTGTGTGTGTAAAGTGCCATCAAGTCACAGCTGATTTATGGCAACCCCATGGAGTTCAAGGCAAGAAATTAAGCAGGGGTGGTTTGCCTTTGCCTTCTTTTTCAAAGGCTTACTTGGTAATCTCCCATCCAAGTACAAACCCTACTTCACTTATGCAATCTGATGAGATCGGGCTATATTTTACCATTCCACATCCTGATTAAAACATTACAAATTCCCAAGTACTAATCACAAACGTTTGGCTGACTGGATCTCCCCAGCCTTGCTGAGGATATGTCTTTAAGCAGATTCCCACTCCAGCCCTACAGAAGGTGTACAATCCTAACTCACAAAATTTATCCTGTCCTCCTAACCTTTATGTCTCCCACTTCCTTGCCAATGTCATTCTATCAGTCCTTATTCAGAGTGTCATACAGTTCTGAAGTTCCTCCTCAGCACCAACACTATGGTCAAGGAACCTTCTTAACAACTCCCTGTGGCCCGTGTGTCATGTTGACAATGGAGGAATTCTCTGTCTTCCATTAGAATGAGACTTGCTGTGATGTATGGAACAGTTCTGTATTTAGTTGTACTGTAAAAAGGTAAAGGTAAAGGTTCCCTTGCTTGAAAGCCAGTCGAATCCGACTCTAGGGTTGTGGTGCTCATCTCCGTTTCAAAGCCAAAGAGCCAGCACTGTCCAAAGACGTTTCCGTGGTCATGTGGCCGGCATGACTAAACACAAAGGCGCACGGAACGCTGTTACCTTCCCACTGAAGTGGTACCTATTTATCTACTTGCAATTTCTTGCTTTCAAACTGCTAGGTTGGCAGGAGCTGGAACTAGACACGGGAGCTCACTCCGTCATGCGGCACCCGGGTTTCGAACTGCTGAATTACTGACCTTCTGCAGCCTGCAGTTCAGCGTCTTAACCACTTGAGCCACCGCAGCTCCTAGTTGTACTGTACTTTTAAGCCTATTTTATTTTTCTGTTCTGGCTTGGGAGTATGAGCTTTGGTGGCTGCAGTTAGCAGTGTGCCCTTGGCCTAGTCGTCTACAAGTAACTGTTACTCCTTGTTGCTCTTTGGGTCTACAATAAAGCTGGTTAAGGCCTCATGTTGTGTGAGTGTTGCCAATATTTTCAACACCTATCCTCTGTGCGTCACCTGTGATGGACAGTTACGAGCGAACATGGTTCCCAGGCAAGAATTTTCACTGGGTCCCCCCTTCATAGTATCCATCCGCAAAGCCAACATCACAGGGAAACAAATCATACAACCTGCACAGCTCCACAGCTCCTCCGACCACGGCCTCCTCCAAGACTCTGTCCCCCTTTTAGCAACCCTGTTTGCGAACTGTCTGGGTGATTTCCCACAGGCGCTGCTCCGCGCTCACTCTTTGGCCCGATGGTACGTGTCAATTTCACACAAGCTGCTGCGCAACCGCATTTTGCCCCGCAGCTTCGTGCAATTTCCCCCGCGTCTACTCAATCCTGTTTTTTGAGGATTGAGTAGACACGGGAAAAATCGCACAAAGCTGTGGGGCAAAATGTGGCTGCGCAGCAGCTTGTGTGAAATTGACATGTACCATCGGGGCAAAAGGGAGGAGTGAGCGCGGAGCAGCGCTTGTGGGAAATCACGCTCTGACTTTGTAAATCAATGTGATGGAAGGGCACAGAGCAAACTTGGCAGCGTAGCCATGTCTATATTATTGGGCTGGGGGTTTGCCATCAATGGATCCTCATGCAGAGAGGACCAGAGAACGTGATCAAAGATCCAGACCCAAGGAGTCCTCCTTCTGCATCCCCTGCTACAGAATGGCTCGAGGACCTACCTATATGGCTGAGCCTCTTCCAGGAACTGCATCTGATCTTGTACACTGGCACTGGCCTTTAGCTCCTTAACGACCACTTGAGTGCTGCTGAGCCCTGCATTCACCTCACCGAGGAACACCTAAAAAGCAAGAGAGAGAAGTACAACCCTGTCACACTCTTACAGCTGAACATGCTAGGACAGTTCTCAGCATTGCTCAGATGGGAACTGAGGAAGCCGAACTGACAAGATGGTTGCCAGGGCAAACATCACATAGACTACGAAGTTAAAAGCTAGCTTAGTCACCACTGGGCTTGTGCATCAAAAACCCAACCTCACCCACTGTTCTTCAGCAAAACCAAGAAGCTCATTCCTTTCCTTGCTTCAGTTTATTCCACTTTGTGTGTATATGCCTTTGTGAGTATTCACAAAGTATTCCTTTGTGAGATTCCTTTTCAATGCAAAGAGTGTCATCCATTTGTTAGCTAATAGCTTGTGGACAAAAGTGTCACAGGATAAAGTATAATCTGGTTGCAAACCTTGGCCCTTGTTTCACGCCTGCTCCTGGGCTAAATCTACACTGCAACAGAACAGATTTGATGCATTTACTCATTCTTTTATTTAATTTAAAGCTTATACACTTTTTGCAGATAACATGAGCTCTCAGGGGGGCTTCATAAGATTAAAATGCATAATTACAATCTATTAAAAATAATAACATGGTAACCTCCTGGCCCTACAACCTTCCTCCATTAGCAATTTCACCTCCCTGACCTGTCTCTGCCTATAATTCAGATTTGCTATCGCAAGTTTTCAAACTGGCTTTTTTTTTCAAAGAGAGGGAGGAAGGGAGGGAGGGAGGCAGAGGCACTGGGAGTCAGTTCCCCCCCCACACACCTCATGCCAAATGATAAGCAATAGCAATAAATATACATATGCAAAGGACTGACAACTCAATGTCTTTGGGGCCATCTGAAATCCATGCTTTGTCTCAGGTCTCCAGTTTCCCTTACCTGTGCCTTTCCTGCCTTGGCGATCCCCCTAACTCTTGACTCACTAATGACTCATTCCATCCGTTTCCACTTCATTCCTTGTCTCCCTGCCCTACAACAATCTCCAATAGTAAAGATCTCCAATAGTAGCTTGTAACGGAAAACACATTGTTCCAATCCTGCTCCCATAAGCAGCAGTGACCAAACTGCTCAAGGTAAGAATGCACAGGAACCAAACTGCCCACTTCTCCCTGACTTTCCAGTTTAACTCCACACATCCTCTGTGGCCCACTCTGTAAATCAATGACAGGGAGAGGGGTCAAACCCAGGGCAGGGACTTACCTTACCAAACCATCCATGGCCAATCTCCTTGAGGTACAGCAGGCTGTGGCGTCCGAGGTCAGTGGATTTGAGGAGCTGAACTGTGAAGAAGCACACAGAATGGTCTGAGCTTCAGCATGTCCTGTCACACAAGCTCGTCGTTCTGCTACTCTGACCCCAATTCTAGCTTTCCACAAAAGATGGGGGTCTGGCGCAGAAGGCAGTCTAAATAACCAGGCACAGGGAAGCCTACAGAAAGGAGCAGCCACCCCGGGCCCTGAGGCCAGCTTGAAGGGTCTTGATGCATCTTCACTGACAGAGCGGAGCAAGGGCTGAAGGTAAGAGACCCCATGCACGTACACATGTATGCACAAGGAGCCCTCTGCCAGAGCCAGCCCAAGCCCCCGGGCAAAGGAATGTGGCTATGCAGTGCCCACCCAACTGGGCAGTCCCAGGTCCCAGCAAGCAGGCAGTGCCATCCCTTCTCCCCCTCAGTGCCAGACGCCGCTGTTCCCGTCACTCCAAGCTGCAAAAGCCCTATTGTTGGGCCCAGCACTGGTAGCTGCAGCTGGACACTGAACCCATTCTTTAGGTGTCCATTTAGATCACACAGAGCTGCACAGGACGAAATCATGTGGGCAGAGCAGAGGGGACCTACTGCCCGGCTAGCTGGCCCAACTCCTCTTCCATCCTACCCATTAAAGCAACCCTTGGATTCCTCAGCCACTTCACATGGGAAAGAATGCAGTGTCCGTGGGAGCTGGGGACCAAAGAGCCTTTGTTTCTGGGGTGGGGTGGGGGGGAGAGGAATTGCTCCGGTCAGGAGAAGAGAGAAACTTCAGCTGAAATGAGAAGGTCAGATCCCTTTCTGGGAAACCCAGGGCACCACACCTTCCTTAGGCTCTTGCCTTGCCTATTAATGGCGGGTCCAGGATGCTCAGGCTGGAAGTCTGTTTTCCAGGTATTCTGCCCTAGGAAGAGCTGCCTGGAAAACCTATCCTGTCCTCTAAATGGGAATGCCCTGCCATGCTGGCCCCACAAGATGGCACTGTTGAGTCACAGGCCAAGCAGGGCCCCATCTGAAAAGGCAGAACAATCCAGAAGGTGCTAGTTGGAGGGGGATTTAAAGAACAGCAGCGTAATGCTGAAGCAATTTGGAAACACAAAGCTCCTGTGATGTGGGTTTCTAGCATGTCCCGTAAAGAATGTCAGTTTGTCACCAGTCCTCCACTTTGGCCCTTCTATCACTCTTGCACCAAAACTTTTCAATATTGAATTTGTGGTATTCTTCTGACTCCTTGGAGGGGGAATAGGACTTGGAGGCAGAGAGGACAAGATGCACAAGGGGGGGGCGGGGTGTCCATCACATCCATGCCTCCTTGGAGGGGGAATAGGACTTGGAGGCAGAGAGGACAAGATGCACAAGGGGGGGGCGGGGTGTCCATCACATCCATGCCTCCTTGGAGGGGGAATAGGACTTGGAGGCAGAGAGGACAAGATGCACAAGGGGGGGGCGGGGTGTCCATCACATCCATGCCTCCTTGGAGGGGGAATAGGACTTGGAGGCAGAGAGGACAAGATGCACAAGGGGGGGGCGGGGTGTCCATCACATCCATGCCTCCTTGGAGGGGGAATAGGACTTGGAGGCAGAGAGGACAAGATGCACAAGGGGGGGGCGGGGTGTCCATCACATCCATGCCTCCTTGGAGGGGGAATAGGACTTGGAGGCAGAGAGGACAAGATGCACAAGGGGGGGGCGGGGTGTCCATCACATCCATGCCTCCTTGGAGGGGGAATAGGACTTGGAGGCAGAGAGGACAAGATGCACAAGGGGGGGGCGGGGTGTCCATCACATCCATGCCTCCTTGGAGGGGGAATAGGACTTGGAGGCAGAGAGGACAAGATGCACAAGGGGGGGGCGGGGTGTCCATCACATCCATGCCTCCTTGGAGGGGGAATAGGACTTGGAGGCAGAGAGGACAAGATGCACAAGGGGGGGGCGGGGTGTCCATCACATCCATGCCTCCTTGGAGGGGGAATAGGACTTGGAGGCAGAGAGGACAAGATGCACAAGGGGGGGGCGGGGTGTCCATCACATCCATGCCTCCTTGGAGGGGGAATAGGACTTGGAGGCAGAGAGGACAAGATGCACAAGGGGGGGGCGGGGTGTCCATCACATCCATGCCTCCTTGGAGGGGGAATAGGACTTGGAGGCAGAGAGGACAAGATGCACAAGGGGGGGGCGGGGTGTCCATCACATCCATGCCTCCTTGGAGGGGGAATAGGACTTGGAGGCAGAGAGGACAAGATGCACAAGGGGGGGGCGGGGTGTCCATCACATCCATGCCTCCTTGGAGGGGGAATAGGACTTGGAGGCAGAGAGGACAAGATGCACAAGGGGGGGGCGGGGTGTCCATCACATCCATGCCTCCTTGGAGGGGGAATAGGACTTGGAGGCAGAGAGGACAAGATGCACAAGGGGGGGGCGGGGTGTCCATCACATCCATGCCTCCTTGGAGGGGGAATAGGACTTGGAGGCAGAGAGGACAAGATGCACAAGGGGGGGGCGGGGTGTCCATCACATCCATGCCTCCTTGGAGGGGGAATAGGACTTGGAGGCAGAGAGGACAAGATGCACAAGGGGGGGGCGGGGTGTCCATCACATCCATGCCTCCTTGGAGGGGGAATAGGACTTGGAGGCAGAGAGGACAAGATGCACAAGGGGGGGGCGGGGTGTCCATCACATCCATGCCTCCTTGGAGGGGGAATAGGACTTGGAGGCAGAGAGGACAAGATGCACAAGGGGGGGGCGGGGTGTCCATCACATCCATGCCTCCTTGGAGGGGGAATAGGACTTGGAGGCAGAGAGGACAAGATGCACAAGGGGGGGGCGGGGTGTCCATCACATCCATGCCTCCTTGGAGGGGGAATAGGACTTGGAGGCAGAGAGGACAAGATGCACAAGGGGGGGGCGGGGTGTCCATCACATCCATGCCTCCTTGGAGGGGGAATAGGACTTGGAGGCAGAGAGGACAAGATGCACAAGGGGGGGGCGGGGTGTCCATCACATCCATGCCTCCTTGGAGGGGGAATAGGACTTGGAGGCAGAGAGGACAAGATGCACAAGGGGGGGGCGGGGTGTCCATCACATCCATGCCTCCTTGGAGGGGGAATAGGACTTGGAGGCAGAGAGGACAAGATGCACAAGGGGGGGGCGGGGTGTCCATCACATCCATGCCTCCTTGGAGGGGGAATAGGACTTGGAGGCAGAGAGGACAAGATGCACAAGGGGGGGGCGGGGTGTCCATCACATCCATGCCTCCTTGGAGGGGGAATAGGACTTGGAGGCAGAGAGGACAAGATGCACAAGGGGGGGGCGGGGTGTCCATCACATCCATGCCTCCTTGGAGGGGGAATAGGACTTGGAGGCAGAGAGGACAAGATGCACAAGGGGGGGGCGGGGTGTCCATCACATCCATGCCTCCTTGGAGGGGGAATAGGACTTGGAGGCAGAGAGGACAAGATGCACAAGGGGGGGGCGGGGTGTCCATCACATCCATGCCTCCTTGGAGGGGGAATAGGACTTGGAGGCAGAGAGGACAAGATGCACAAGGGGGGGGCGGGGTGTCCATCACATCCATGCCTCCTTGGAGGGGGAATAGGACTTGGAGGCAGAGAGGACAAGATGCACAAGGGGGGGGCGGGGTGTCCATCACATCCATGCCTCCTTGGAGGGGGAATAGGACTTGGAGGCAGAGAGGACAAGATGCACAAGGGGGGGGCGGGGTGTCCATCACATCCATGCCTCCTTGGAGGGGGAATAGGACTTGGAGGCAGAGAGGACAAGATGCACAAGGGGGGGGCGGGGTGTCCATCACATCCATGCCTCCTTGGAGGGGGAATAGGACTTGGAGGCAGAGAGGACAAGATGCACAAGGGGGGGGCGGGGTGTCCATCACATCCATGCCTCCTTGGAGGGGGAATAGGACTTGGAGGCAGAGAGGACAAGATGCACAAGGGGGGGGCGGGGTGTCCATCACATCCATGCCTCCTTGGAGGGGGAATAGGACTTGGAGGCAGAGAGGACAAGATGCACAAGGGGGGGGCGGGGTGTCCATCACATCCATGCCTCCTTGGAGGGGGAATAGGACTTGGAGGCAGAGAGGACAAGATGCACAAGGGGGGGGCGGGGTGTCCATCACATCCATGCCTCCTTGGAGGGGGAATAGGACTTGGAGGCAGAGAGGACAAGATGCACAAGGGGGGGGCGGGGTGTCCATCACATCCATGCCTCCTTGGAGGGGGAATAGGACTTGGAGGCAGAGAGGACAAGATGCACAAGGGGGGGGCGGGGTGTCCATCACATCCATGCCTCCTTGGAGGGGGAATAGGACTTGGAGGCAGAGAGGACAAGATGCACAAGGGGGGGGCGGGGTGTCCATCACATCCATGCCTCCTTGGAGGGGGAATAGGACTTGGAGGCAGAGAGGACAAGATGCACAAGGGGGGGGCGGGGTGTCCATCACATCCATGCCTCCTTGGAGGGGGAATAGGACTTGGAGGCAGAGAGGACAAGATGCACAAGGTGGGGGCGGGGTGTCCATCACATCCATGGCAGATGCCATTGCAACACATACTGCAAATAATAAAACAGGACTCCAGCAGCACCTTTAAGATGCTGCAGAGAAACTCTGATATAAGAGGATCTGCATCACAAAAATGAAAATAACCAATGAACATGGCTGGGGTGACATGGTTCAAAAGCAAACTGTTTAGCACTCCAAGGAAGTTGCCAAAAAAGCTGCCCACTCCTCGACTGCAGCTGCTGCCAATGGCAACCAAGCACCCCCCCCCCACAGGACAGATGTGGGCGAAGACTGAAACAAGGATTTGATCCACCAAGATACAGTATCCAGCAAGCAGCTGCAAGTGTGCCGTGGGCAGAGGGACTGAGAGCCCAGTTGCTTCACAGCCATAAGGGTAGGAGGGGAGGGGAGAATGGGGGTCTTTGAACTGGAAGTAAGAAAAAGAAAGAAAGGTTGCTGAGATCTAAGGACTATAAGCAGTCTGCTTGTACAGTGAAATCACTCAAAGCTTGGCTGTCATAGGGGGGGGGGTTGCACGGGGTACCCCAGTTGTGATCTTTGGATTCATACCACAACATACTTATTACTGCCTCATTCTGGCTGCTTTACATCTATTAGTTCAGTAGAAGGCTTTCTTCCTGTATTAGTTCCACAGAGAATAAAAACACAATATGGCTTTAACAAAATTAAACTGACAACTCTTGGTAAAAGGATAAAGCTTTTGCTTTACACAGAACAGATGCCGTCCTGAATATGCATTTCATATAAGAACGTTTGAATACCTCTACACTCATGGAAGATACGGTCTCATCTAGGTGGCATTTCTTAGGATTGTTCAGCAGAGGGCCAGCGTGATATAGCGCTTACAGTGTTGGACTAGGACCAGAGAGACCCTGGTGCAAATCCATGCTTGCCGTGAAGCCTGCAGAGTGAGCTTGGGCCAGTTACTCTCTTTCAACCTAACCTCAAAGGGTGGTTTTGAACATAAAATTAAGGAAGGGAGAACCACACCAAGGAAAGGAGAAACTGAATCCAGGTAAGATGGAGGTTCTTGTGGCTGGGTAGGGGTTGGGTTGCCAACCATGGCAACCTCCCATCTCTTGACGGCATGCTCTGAGTTTGGATATGACTCTGGACATCACCTTGTCTATGGAGGCCCAGGTTGCGAAGGTTGCCAAGCTAGCGTTTTTCTAACTGTGCCAGGTTAGGCAACTGGCTCCCTACCTGTCTCATCCTGACCTAGCCACAGTAACCCATACAATGGTCACCTCCAGGATAGACTACTGTAATTCGCTCTATGCGGGCTTACCCTTGAGCCTGACTCCTATTGGGTGTTGTAAATAAGAAACGGGAGACTGACCAGTTATGAAGGTGCACAGAGAGTTTATATAGTTATAAAGGTGAATATATACAGAGATATATACAGGCTATTGTACAGCATGTCGTGCCTTAGTCTATGAGAACTAAGTCCCCATCCAGTTTACTAAGCTGATAGCTATTATGCTAAACCCCAGCCAATCTCTAACAGGGTGATGCAATCACTAACTCTAACAAGCCCAGAAAGAGTAACACCTGCTAGAAAACACCTGGCTGTAATTACATGATTACCAGCATGACAGCTAGGTCTGACAAACAGATCAAACTGATCTATAGTAACTGCTTGCTACCTCTATCACTCTGACATATATCTCAATAGCTCCAGCTGATCCAGAATGCGGCCATGCGGGTCCTTACGGGGACCCCTCGGATAGCACATATTCAGCCTGTGCTGCACAAGCTGCATTGGCTTCCAGTGGAGTGCCAGATCTGGTTCAAGGGTTTTGGTTTTGACCTTTAAGGCTCTCGGTGGTGAGGGACCCACATATCTTTGGGACCGCCTCTGTCAATATGCCCCTGGAAGAGCATTACACTCTGGGAATAAGAACCTTCTGGTGATCCCAAGCCTGAGAGAGATCTGGCTGTCCTCAGCTAGGAAACTCTCTGCCAGAAAACATATGTGCCCTGCAGGGTTTACTATCGTTCCATAGGGCATGCAAGGCAGAGATGTTCCGCCAGGCATTTAGTGGAGAGCAACGGCGGTCTGGCACTCTCATACCCACACTCCCCCCCCCCTCATCCACATCCCCTCCACCCTAAGGGGTTGGTGGGTTCTGAATATGCTGATATGTTGTTGATGCTTTTAAGTATTTTAAAGTTGTTCTTAATTTTATTATTTTTTGTATTTGTCTTCTGAGGTAAGCCACCCTGAGCCCTGCTTACACCACAATTTAAGAAAGATATAGACAAGCTGGAACGTGTCCAGAGGAGGACAACGAAGATGGTGAGGGGTCTGGAGACCAAGTCCTATGAGGAAAGGTTGAAGGAGCCCAGTATGTACAGCCTGGAGAGAGACGACTGAGAGGTGATATGATAACCATCCTGAAGGGCTGTCATATAGAGGATGGTGTGGAGTTGTCTTCTGTTGCCCCAGGTTGAAATTAAATCAGAAGAGTTTTAAGTTAAACATTAGGATAAACTTCCTGACAGTTAGAGTGGTTCCTGAGTGGAACAGGCTTCCTCAGGAGGTGGTGGGCTCTCCTTCTTTGGAGGTTTTCAAACAGAGGCTAGATGGTCCTCTGACAGCAATGCTGATTCTGTGAATTTAGGCAGATCATGAGAGGGAGGGCAGGAAGGGTTTCCTCGGTGCTTCGTTCTTGTGGCCCTTTCTTACATGCCCAGGGAAATGCTGATCGCCACTTTGGGGTCAGGAGGCAATTTTTCTCTAGGCCTGTTTAGCTGGAGATCCTGGAGGTTTTTTTTTTTTTTTTTGGTCATCTTCTGGGCGTGGAACACCAGTGTGGAGGAGGAGGTATTTGTGTATTTCCTGCATTGTGCAGGGGGTTGGACTAGATGACCCTGGAGGACCCTTCCAACTCTATGATTCTATGCCTAATAAATCAACTTAAATAAATAAATAAATAAATAAATAAATAAATAAGCCACTCTGAGTTCCCTGCAGGAAGGGTGGGATAAAAACGTAACAAAAAGATAAAGATCTCAATCCCCTACTGATGCTAAACCTAAGTACGTGTACACTTTGTATGTATTCCTTCTCACTGAGTTTGGTTATGTTTTTACACATCTGTCTTCAGTTCCCTGCTGCCCCTATCAAATTTAGGACAGGGCCCTGTTTTTTTTGCTTATGTTACTCAGTAAAGATTCATGTACATTGATAACGAAATCCAACAGGCTGGATGCAAACCAGAGAATGGAGCTAACAGAATGAGACTTTTTCATCTTCTTTATCTTGCCATAACCCAGTGAGACCCCTCAACTTCTGTTTCAGGAGGTCAAAGGATCTTCACAAACAGTGTGTGGGAGACAAGGTGGCAGAATCCCTCCTCTGCCAGTAGAGGTGCTGCTACCTTGGTGGAAGAGCATAATTGGATCTTAGTACTGCTGCAACACCTGCCTATCTGCACTGGTGCCTCTTCCATGGGGCTCATATGTACAAACACAATGCGGATTAGTCACCCACAGTGCTCTTTTTACCACAGTGAAGTACTCACAATCACTGGGGGGGGGGGGCCTTCCGGACACCTTTTCAGTGCATGAGCATTAGTAAGCGAAAAATTCGAATCCTTGCCCATCATTGTGAGGTTTGTGCAAGAGTGTGCTGTCGCTAGCGTAGATTGTGAAAGAGTCACATAAATAAACACAGAGGCTTCACAACTTACCTGAGCGTCCAGGCTGCCTGGACATGGGCAAGGAGACTTCAGTGAGAGGCAGAATATAAACTTCAGGTCCATTCTGTGTGGCAGGTGAGCCCTGGGTAGAGAACTCACTGGCATATTCTTCTCCCTCAGCATTCTCGAATTCCTGGGGACAAAGATGGAAGGGAGTGAAAGAGCCCACCACAGGGCAGAGAGACATTTTTAACCCCACATGTAGAAAGAAGCAGAGCAGAAACATCCTACTCCTACTCATATTGTCATGGTGACTAAAATAATGCATGTCAAATTCTTGAAATACTCTGAAGGTTTATTATCTCACACAGAGATGAGGAAGCATAGACACACACATATTACCCTATACATATACACGTGGAGTGGGGGGAGAGAACACACTTTCCTTCTTGCACATGTAAAGGGAAATGTGAACAACACGGTGTGTGTGTGTGGGGAGACAGGCACAAACCCTCTCCATAAACATTGGGACACCATATGCATGCATAGTTAAACAGGACTGCACTAGAAGAAAATACAGGTATATCCATATCCCTTTGCACACGGTACCATCAGCATCTAACCTGCATTGGTTTGATACCATTTTAACAGTCATGGATTCCCTCAAAGTATCCTGGGAATTGTGGTTTCTTGAACAGCTGTCACTTCACTGTTACAGATCCCTCCCCTCCCCAAACTACAGTTCCCATGATTCCCTAAGAAGAGAGAATTACTATTAAACTAATTTCAATTAGTACTGAGGATATGGCCTTATCAGACTGTGGGTGTGGAGAGACACAGCTAACAAATATTTACAACTCTCACACCACACAGGCCCGACTCATTCCCACTGTAGAGATTACCGCTTGAAATGCAATTGCCTAAGTACTTCACTGGTGTGGCAAGCCATTTGTATGAAACAGATTCCCACACATTTTGGGCAACTTGGGGGAAAAAGAGATGACACATATGGAGAGAACTGTTTCACACATCTTCCCACCTGGGATCATGCCTGCACCCTGCATGGTGCTGATTTCAAGCAGTCACCCACACAAAGAAGGGCATCTATGAACTGGGCCACAGACAAAAAAAGCACAATCATTCATACATTTCTGTCTCGATATCAGCACACCTACTGAAACTGGGGGGGGGGGGACGGACAGAGACAGCCGTGCACTCACTCCCACTCTTTCTCTTTTTTCTTCCAACAAACAATTGTGTGAGGAGAGGACTCAGGCTGAGGGCCTACAGGAAACAGGTCCTGGGATATTTAAGGATGACCAATTTACAATCTCGTTTGAAAACAAGAGTGTGCTCCATGAAACTGTGGCTGAAGAGAAAGCTTTGAAAAACAGGACACAAGTAAAACTGAGGAAGCATGGACCTGCCCAGATCCTCTGCAGACTCTCAGAGGGCCCATGTCAAGCCCTGAAGCGTTTGGGGCTGGGTAATGGCTGGAGGTTCTGCCTTCAGGCCCCCCACCCACCCACCCAAGCCTCACCTCCATATGTGACTGCTGGCATATGCCACAGGGGACCTGAGTGCAGAGCAATAGCCCATTTGCTCCTCCTGATCATCGGATTCCACATCCCAGTTGGCCCTCTGCATTTTGGCACTGCGTGGCCAGCAGGCAGCTGCTCTGCTCCCTCCACCCTGCCCCCAGTGAGAGACACAGTCATAAATACAGTTGAGGGAGAAGCAGCCTCACCTTGGTCAGGGGGCAGGGAGAGGGCTGCCCAGGGTTCCCCAGTTCTACATTACAGGCTGTTTTTGGCACTGTGCTGGCCCCCGTGCAGGGCAGACACCTCAAAACCATCCTCAGCCTCTTCTCTCGGGGTTCGCTTCTCCAGCTCTAGGCAAGAGTGCCCAGAGAAAGAGTGTTAATAAATTCCCCCACCCTGAATTGCCCTGCTCCCCAGCTCATGCCCACCAAGTTAGACCCCTCCCCAACAAACCTTTCCCCCCCACACCCCAGCCTTCTAAAGCAACAGCCATCTCCACCCCCCATTCAAACCCTGCAAAAGTCAGCCAGAGGTCAGCCAGCACTTCCTGTTACCTGGGTGAGCTTTTTCCCACCGAAGGCCGCTCCAGCAATCAGGTAAGAGAGGGTAAGCATCACCTTTGTGCATCCGGCGCCATAGTGCTCTTATGCTGTTGCTGCTGCTGCTGCTGCTGTGCCCTTATCATGAGGAAAAAATGCAGGCTGCTCACAGCCTTTACCCCGTCCCTATATAGGCAGCGTAGGGGGGCTGAAGTGCTTCATTGTTCCCACAGCAAAACCGGGCTAGTGCTCCAAATGGTTAGCCCACAGAACCAGCCATAGCTCCAATTCCAGCACCCCTCTTCCACCATGGTCTGGACGCCAAGAGCCTCCACAAGAATCTCAGCAATGAGGGAACACATTTCCCTAGCACATTCTGTGCCTGCAAGGTCACGTTACTGCCCACTCCCTCCTGGGCCATTCCAGGGCAAACTGTAACCAAGCCAAGCATGGGCGAGGGGACAATCCCAGCTGGCTTAAGAGAGAAAGACCCCCTCCCCACCAAACCACCAACTCAGCAACAGTGACCGAGAGTGGTTGTTGACCCACAGCTATTACCTGACCCACAGGCTCAGTCCTTGGAATCTCCTTCAGAGTGAGAGGCGAAATAAATAAATAAATAAATCCCCAACCCTCCCTACTGGGCCAGTATGTAGTTCAATGCCCAAAGCACCCTCTAGGCAATGGAGCCAGCACCAACAGGGAGACAAGAGCACCCAGATGTGGGGGCCTCACCTGTGACTCATGGCACAAGCATCCCCATTGCAAGACTGAGCCTGCAAAAGCCTTCGGGGGGAATGCCTCTTTACTAAGCTTCTAACTCCATCGCCCACATTGCAGCTCCCATTTGCTCTGCTCTGCATTCTGGGCCTTTAAAATCTGTTCTTTAAAGACTAACAATGGTCCCTGCCACACGGCAGGAAAAACAACGGCCTAAGTGCGGCTAATCTGAGCCGCACCAAAATAGAGACGCCGCAGCGAGATCCCACGGATCCCCTGAGCCGCGGCGCCGTTGCACCCCGGAATGGTCAGATGCCGGGGAGGAAGGCACGGTGGGGAGGGGGAGGCTGCCGAACTGCGCATGTGTGAGCATGCGCAGTTCGGCCAGGAGCCGGGGATGCGCCGACGGAAGGACGCGCCGGCGATCCCACGGCCGGCCTTGATGTGGCCTTTCCGGATGAACCACCCAGGTAGGTGGTTTATTTTTGGTGCAGGGTTTTGGGCGGAAGGGCCGGATCGGGGATGGGTGCGCAACGCTTCCCAGATGTTGCGGTGGGATCGCGCCCGTTTGCTGCGCCCCCGATTCGTCCCTCTCCCGGCCCAAAACCTCTCGTGTGACCGGGGCCAATGTTTATTTCTGCATAAATTGTGTTAGTCTTTAAGCTCCTTAAAACTACTGTTTTATTCTGTTGCTATGGGTTAACAAGGCTGGCTCCCCATTGAGAATTAAAACTTAGTTTTTTCTGCAGAAGCGAGTGTTCATTTAGCCTCGGAGTCCAAAGCAGCTCTGGGTTAGGGTTCCCAATCTCCAGACTACAGAGATGAGTTTCCCTGGAGAAAATGGCTGCTCTGGAGGGTGAACTCTATAGCACTATACTCCACTGAGGTCCCTTCCTCCCCAACCCCACCCTCCCTAGGCTCCACCCCCACATCTCCAGGTATTTACCAAGCCAAAGTTGGCAAGTGTAACTCTGGGTCTAGATGTGATATCCCAAGGAAATAGTTCACTGGCTCCCCCTCACACAAACCAGGCTCCTCTCACGCACCGACTCCCTACAGTTCCTGTGTCTGACAGCTTCTCCTCGCCCACCTTGATTCTTCCTCTAGGCTGTGAGGGGGGCGGGGGGAGCTCAGCAAGAATTCCTCAGTCCCACTGTTCCTGCACATTGCCAAATAACTGTCCCCAGCTGTGCTCTGGGAGCCTGCGTCTCAGCAAGCGAACAGAGGTTTGCTGAGCTGCTTCTGCTCACTAAGCCTGCCCACATCTCACCTTTGGCCCACAGGATTCCTTGCTGGATACCTCCTGTTGCTGCTGGGATCCCGTGCCCATTGCTTGTCCTTTCACAGTTATCCTTCTTCCTCTGCTTTCCCAGTTACGCTACAGTGGCCGAAGGTACTTCCTGAAACACTTTCCCTCGCACAAGGAGGATTTCTCTCTACATTTTTACCTGCCCTTCCTTCGAAGGCACACAAGGATACTGCTCATGGATCTTCCTGCTCCTGTTTCATTCTTGCAATGACCGTATGATGTAAGTTAGACTTCAAGGTAACCTTGCAAGCTTCATGGTGGAGCAGAGATTTTTGAAAGCACAGAAATCCCTGGGAGTCGTGAGCCTCCACTAGTCCTTACCTTGAAGCCAATGCCCCCCTTCTTGCAGCACAGACAGGCCAACATGAGGAAGATGAAGGTGAAGAGCCCAGAGAAGGAAACGGCCACAACCACCAGAGAAGAGGACCATGAAAGCTCACTCAGGGGAGTGCCATCTGTAGGTAGACACAACGAAACCACAGGGAGAACTAATTAGAAAGGAAGTGCAGAGGAAGCAAAGGACGAAGAAGTAAAAACTGAAAGGCGAGCATCTCAGTGAAGACAGAAATACACAGCCAGGAACAGCCAGGAACAGAACCCAGAAGATCACCCGGATAAATCTTATATAGTATACATTTATATTCATAGGCTCATAGTTAATCCAGAAGTTCTAGTTCCAATGCACCCTCCCTGCTCCAATTTTTATACTTCAAAACTTTATTGGGGAAAAGAATGGCTCCTCAAGGTGTCCTGTCTTCCAGTCACCTTCCTCTTGGCTCTGGAAAGGGATACCCAGCCTCCTAAGCTCATTCTTCTCTCCACTGACCCAATTCAGGGCTAAGCTATAAAGGCAGGAACCAAGAGATGCCCCTTGAAGAGTGATTCCACCCATGTGCATTGCCTGGCCTCCACTGACCACACACTAACTCACTATAACCTGGAAAGGCAGAGGACCTACACATGCAGGGCAAGTTGTGGTGTT